GATTATCGTTTCGAGGCAGAGCCTCGGCAAAGTTCGATCGAATGGCGTGGAGATTGAGGCGAGAAGGAGAGGGGACTGATTAACCACCACCCCCTATGTGTATTTTCAAACTCGGTTAAAAATAGTTTTCACGCGTATTTCGAAACGAAATAAATACGCGAGTATACTCGTGTGAAACGGAGCGAAACGGAAAGCGTATGAACGGTTGGAAAATCAAGGCTGTTGGAGAAGGTCGTGGAACCATAAAATCATATGTTCATTTTCTAATTCGCGATATTAATTTTAAAATATCGTGTCGTCCAAATTCTCTAAATATCTGGAATATAAATACGATTTTAATTTCGAATCCAGATTCGATTCTTTCGATCTCACTGGAGGAAGCTGACGTTTCTTCGATTAATCTCTTCACTTGGTTTCGCCTTAGTTTTCCAAATTATACAAGATCGGTCGTAAACTGTGAAACTTCCCGCTTGTCGATCCAACATTGAGAAAGAATTTTAAGTGATCCGTCTTACTCGAAAATATTTACTCGGGAGACCACGAGCTTAATTAGGCCCGAGATGTACTAGAGCGTGCTTTTGTTTGCGACTAAGCCGGTATGCATTTCGTTAAAAATTAACGAGAGAGGTGGACGCGTGTATACAACCGAGAAAATACAAGGGATGGTACTTTGTTCTTTGATTATTTTTAGTTGCCTCTTGTTTACGCTCCCCTACATTTCTTCGCTATTTCGAAACGAGGCGAAAATATGTCGCGCGAAACAACTGTAATAATTAGAAAGCAATTAGTAGAAAACCCCCCCTCGAAAAGGATTAACAACCATCACCAGTGATATTTTCGAGACGAAATTAAAAATGCATAATCAACCGTTCAAATTGGAGTTAAGTACAATGAATCGTCGAAATTCCCTCCCCCCCCCCCTCCCCCCCGATGAAGAAACAGTGACGTGTCGAGTTATTCGTGCGCGAAATAAGCGGCGTTCCGGTGTTAACAATTATACAGCAATCGGTTCGATCGGTGAACCTATCATCCATTAACGTTCATAGGTGGATGCCTTCTCCTCGTCTACCTCGATCGTGGCAAAAAAACCTGGAGATTCGTGGAGAACCGCGGAGAATTTTAAATATCCATCCTGGCAACAGCCCAAACTTTCTGCACGAATTTATCGCGCAGCAGCACACGTATTCTCGTTATTATGTACACGTATGCCGCTCTCTCGTAAACGAGGATGGAGGAGAAGAAAAGAAGAGAAAAGAAGGGGGGGGGGGGAATACATATATAAATATAGAAAGAAACACGGAAACGCACCGTGTCATCTGTTTTGATCTCGTTTGCACCTCGTTCGAGGTAGCTCGATCGTTCACAATTCCGAGATTAAGATCGCGAGATGATCTTTGGATAGAGAACGAAGCGGTTTAAAAGCCACGTGATATCCCCCCTCCTCTCTCTCTCTCTCTCTTTCTCCCACGATTTTCGGCAAAAACGTCGAGCGAAAAGTAGGTCAGAGAGTAGTTTTTCGAGGTCTCGATCTAGGCGGCCCTGATACGTCGCCCGTTCGATGAATCACCCACCGGTCCCGATGGAATTTAAGAATTTATCGCGTACGCGCTCTCCCTTCCTCGATAATCCGTCGGGAGGGGAAATTTTGGCCGTGTCGACGAGAGGAGACGGATATCCTAGAGAGTGTTGGTGGCGGTTTCGGCGCCAGACTTCTAGAAGCTAGGAACAGGAGCCAGCGAAATTTTCAGTTCGATCATTTAATCGCGTGTCGAGAAAACCTTGAGGATTTTTCATTCCGTTTAATCGCTGTGATTAATTTTGAAATCGCGATATACTTGTCGAATTACACCGCTCCACTTCGCCCAATCAATTTGGAGTTGTTGATGTTTATGCGATTTATGATTTTTTATACATATATAAAAATAGAAAATAATAATCGTTGCAGTATATGAAGACTTGTTAACGTTCGGTAAGATCGGTATTAGGGGTAGAAAATTAAGGGCAAATTTATGAGCAACGGTATATACAGGTATATATCTGTTTTCCGGCTTGGGCTACAATTTAAATCAGCCGCGGACCTAATTGCCGACTTTTAATAGTTTCATACACGAAAACGAAAACTCGTGCCAGGTTCCTGGTGTCACATTACGCGACCGAGTCGCGTACACGCGTGTGTATCGGGATCCAGGGTGTTCTTAACCAAACTTCACCTGCCCTTGACACGAATCCGTGATCGATAACGATCCTTGATCGAAACTTTTCACCGAATCAAACGTGTCTCTCGCTCTCTCTCTCTAACCGCACAAATGTCGCTTGCTCGCTCGTTTATTTAAAAGTTCGCTCGAACTTTTCTCTCGTGAAATTTCGATATTAGAAATTTTGTAATTCGGGACGAAAAATTCTCCAAATCACGAGGATTGAAATATTAACGAATGCGAGTAAAATTATTATTATCGCGATTCATCGTGATTTAGAATTTTAACGGAAAACTTCTTGAAAACTTTTTCCCTCCAACAACTTGAACGCGACGAAATTTTCTCCAAGATTCGATCGCTATTTTAAAATATAGGACTTTTAACAAAAGGCATTCTTATTAACGAAATCATTGATCGTTTCATCGATCAGAATTATTTAGCATTTTCAAGGATCGAAGATGCGATGTTTGCCTGTGAAACAGATTGCCCCTCTCTCTCTCTCTCTCTCTCTCTCTCTCTCTCTCTCT